GTCAGCCAAGTTCGATATCTTGGGATGTGCGGAGACTCACGTGGGGGCGAGTCAGATGCGCGCATGGGAGAACAAAGCTCGACAGAAAAAACTCAGATGGATTGCTAACGCTGCTCGACCATCAGGAAGGGGCAGCCAGGCTCATGAGGATCGTGCCAATGAAGGAGGAGAGTGGGTACTCGCAAAGGGCCACCTTCACGTCGAGCCGATCGCGGAGGCCAGGATGACGGGTGCGCCCAAGGCAGATGGCAGCGACGCGCTGGACGGGTTCACCGCGGCGGTGCTGCACTTTCGGGGCGTCTCGATGGTGCTGCTGATCGTTTACTGTTTCTCATCGATTGGCCTCGCTGGCAAAAATATTTCAAGATTGCACAAGATTGGAGGGTTGTTATCAGCCTTACAGCTGCCGTGGATATGCTTGGGTGATCGGAACATGGAGCCCAGTGTTCTTTCCCAGAGTGTTTTTTTTACGACAAGTTCAGGGACGAGTTGTGATTCCAGGCGTACAGGTCACGCGTGACTCGAGTGCGCAGGGCAGCCTGATCGACTACGCGGTAGTCTCCGAGGCCTCCCTGCCGTACTTCGTCAAGCTGGAGGCCGTCTTGGACGTGCCCTGGCGCCCGCACATAGGATTGGCCCTGACCATACGTTCTTCTGGCCGTCAGCTTCTGACACGACGGCTGGAGCGTGCTGGTAGACTGCCCCAGGTTTCCCGCCCGATGGTGAAAGCGACCCCAGGATCCAAGGCCTCGGTGGCCAAGAAGAAGCAGGTGGCGCAAGCTGCCATTGCCGCGGGGAAACGTTCGGAGAACTATCTGAGTCTCTTCGGGGACGCTTTGAATTCACAAAATGCTGGTTCCGTTTTTGGTGAAGGCCCTTCCCAGGACGAGGAAACCGACGTCCATGTGGAGGGGCCCCCCCTTCCTGAATTTGAAGACGAGGAGGAGGATCCGTGGGCCAATGAGCCTAACTTTGGCGGTCCGTCCAGGCCTGATGAAAATGCTAGTGTGCTTGAATCCATCGTTGTCAATTCGGGGGTCTGTAGCTCTGGCGTGTCAGGTAGTCAGGTGAATGATGACCCCACCAGCCACAGGGACCCCCCCCCCCCCCAGCCACAAGCAGTGAATCGGTGAGCCAGGTGGAGCCAGATCCCTCGGAAGTGCCACAAGAGAAGGTCGAGCCTAGTTTCCTCATTCCTGAAGATGTGTGGGAGCAGCATAGGCCCCTGCATCAAGGGGACGTTGCCCCCCCTGCTCCTGCTCACTTTCTCAACTCCGTAGCCTTTCGGCTCAATCCTGGCCATGTTCATCTCGTGGGCCCGTGGTTTTCTCAATGGGTCAACACTGTCGAGGATGTCATTTATGCTCATCATCAGGTCGTGCCATCTGGGGGCCCCCGACGGGGCACAGGATGTTCTTTCGTGGAAGAGTCAGTCAAGCAGAGCTCGCGATCTAGAGCCGCTCCTTTGAGAGATCAAGTTGCGTGCTGGCGGAAACGTGTTGCATCGATCCTCTCGCAGTTCGAGCGGCATCGTGGGCGAGATAATGGTCGTTCTCAGTTGGTTCAGTTGCAGCAAGCAGCCAGGCACCTTGCCACCGAGAAGCCCGATGGAGTTGACAAGATTCTGTTGAGCCAAAAGGATGCTGGGATTCATGTCTGGACGGGTTTGCTCCTGAACTTAGTTGACACGCGCGATGTGGTTATTGCTAGTTTTCAACAACAGGCGGACAAGCTCTCTAAACGTGCTCTGCGTCGGGCGGTGCGAGAGTCTCTGTGTGAATTTCGGTCTTGGATTACTTCTCAGGAGGTCCTGGGAACGCTGCGCAGGAGTATGCGAGAAGAACCGCTACCAGTTGAGGAGGTCTGGTACGGCAGTACTGTTTTGGTGCACCCCAAGGATATCTTAGATCGTAAAGGCAAGCTATGGAAGGAGCTCTGGACATCTGCAGATAGACGTGGAAGCTCTACGTGGAGGCGTTCTGCCGAAGCGTCAGAGCCGAGCGGTCGACGCGGTGGTGCAGTGCCATGCTTTGTCGAGGCGTCAGAGCTGAGCGGTGGGTGCTCCTCGAACCCAACCGACTCTCAAGTCGCCGATGTTTTGTCGGGGGCCTCTCAGGCCACGCCATGTTTTGCCGATGCGTCAGAGCCGAGCGCTGGGTGCCCCTCGAGCCCATGCGTCTCGCAAGTCGCCAATGTTTTGTCGGAGGCCTCTCAGGCCAAGCCATGCTTTGCTGGGGCGTCAGAGCCGAGCGCCGGGTGCTCCTCGAGCCCATGCGTCTCTCGCGTTGCCAAGGTTTTGTCGGAGTGTCCAGGTGATGCGTCGGCAGGGTTAGAACGCATTGGGTTTGCTGGCGCTTCTCAAGAGGAACGACTTGCCGAGGCCTTTGCTGCCATCAAGGAGGCGGCACGTGACGAGCCCATGGAGCCCATCACCGCGGATCAAGTGCGTAGTATGGCTCATCGCATGCGTGCCAAGACAGGACTGGGTGCAGATCGTCTCTCTCCGCTGGATGTGGAGAGGCTTCCGCAGGCTGGGCTTGAGGAGCTTGCGGAGCTGATGAACGTATGCGAAGCTACACTCACGTGGCCTCATCAGACGCAACTGGTTATCGGAAAATTGTTACCGAAGAAGGTGGAAGGAGATCGTGTTATAGGGCTCATATCGATGATAGGTCGCGTCTGGTCTGGGATCCGTGAACAGCAAGTCAGAGATTGGTGCAGTCTTGTGGAGACGGAGTGGGATGCAGCCATACAGGGTAATAGTTCTCTGGTGGAAGCCTTTCACTGCACGTTAGCTGACGAGACTGCGGGGTGGATGAAGCTCCCGACGGGGCACGGTATGTTAGATATTAAAGGGTTCTACGACGGTATCGAATGGGATCTCTTGGTGTTCGCGGCTCTTCGTATGGGATTTCCTCCAGTCATATTATATATGGAACTGGCCCAGTGTGTAGCGGCGCGCACGTTGGAGCAATTCGGAGCTGTATGTGAACCATTTCTCGTCGATCGTAGCATTATCCAGGGGCTCAGGTCGGGCACAAGATTCGCGAAGTGTATGACTCATTATGTTTTGGCTCGTATCTCTCGTACCCATCCTGCTCTCGGCCATCGTATATGGATCGACGATTTATCGCAGAGGATGTCGGGGTCCAGGCAGTCGGTCGTCAAGGGGGTTACTGCGTGTCTGGGGGCCACGTTTAATGAGCTGGCTAAGTGGCATTTGGATGTCTCGCCGAAGTCGATCGTGATGTGTTCCTTCCACGGGGATGCCAAGGAGATCGCCGAACGTTTGAAAGTCCAAGGGTTCATTGTTCGGCCGCAACTTCAGGGTTCTTATCTCGGGATTGACCAGGGAGGAGGCAGAAGGACTGCTCGGGCTACGCGGACTAAGAGAGTGGCCAAACACGGACGTATGCATGCTCGTGTCGTTCGGTATGCGCGCGCTTCACGTCAGTATACTATCACCTCCAGGCTGGAACGGCTTGGAGCACAGGCAGCAGGCAACTACGGGCAGGAGCTCCACGGCACCTTCGGCCAACGTCTTGTATCCTTTCGTAGGAGTCTGGCTGCCGCTGTTTCGTCTGGGGGCCGCGGTCGGTGTCTGGTGTCGACGCTTGCCATTAAAGCGCCTGGGCTTGATCCTGGAATCAGGTATCCTCAGCAATCCTTGCACCTTTGGCTTCAGCAGTGGTTCGCTCGTCCAGAGATCCGAGGGCGTGTGCACAAGGCGTGGGCGCGGGTTGTCGGGCATTTCAAAAGCTTGCCTCCACATCAGCGCTCTAGGTGGGTGAGGGGACCGATGTCCACGGCGATTTTGACTCTTCTTGAACGGGGATGGGACCCAATATCACCAGTGTGCTGGATCATGGCAGACGGAACGGAGTGGAGGTTTCCTGAAGCAGGGTATTCGGACATCTCGGCTTTAAACGACACCAAGCTTTTTTTCCTGGATTTTAACAGATCGTCGGAGAGGCTCGTGTGGGCCTCCGCTGAGAAGCATTTTTGTGGGGAAGGTCTTGGGCAAGGCATGGATGTTGTATCTCTGCAGCGGCTTCTGAAGCACCTGGAGCAGCTTCCACGCGGGCGCAGGCTCTCTGAGTTGTTATCGACGGTAGTTGCTGGAGGGTCGTGGCCGAGGCTCCGTCGAGCTGAGGCCTCCACCAAGGTCCAAGTTTGTGCGCTGTGTCCTCGCTGCAAAAGACGCAATGAGTCAGCTTTTCATCGAATATGGGAATGCGAGCACAACGTCAATCACCCTATCTACACCAAGTCGGACGAGGTATATATGCAAACTGCCTCTCAACATGAGTCTGCTCCAGCGTACTGGCTCCGTGGAGCCATGCCAGCACAGTGGACCGTGGTACCTGAGCCGCCTGATGAGGAGGCTTGGTTCCAGACGGGGCTCAACGATGGTGTTGCTGATGGAGTCCTAGGGCCAGGTGAGTGTGCCAGGCCAGTGCTGCTTTTTGGCGATGCCAGCGGCGGGGCGGATTCATCGGATGGGAGGTTCAGACGTATCGGTCTCGGTCTCGCGCAGATGGAAAGCGAAACGGACCTCCAGCTGCAAGTATCCCTATTTGGAGCCCTCCCAGGAGTTGTCCAGACGGTGCCCAGAGGTGAGCTGTATATCTTCTGGGTAGCCTTGCGGCTGACGGAACAATATGTAACGTATGTGACGGACAACCAGATGGTGCATGAAGGTTGGTGGTCTCAGAAATATCGTCATCCAACTGGAGAGCACGCAGAGTTGTGGGCGAAGATTGGGCTGTTGTTTCATAACACGGGACGGCTGCCTGAGCATGTGACAGTATTGTTTACGAACTCGCACATGGAGGCCGAGGACGTCGTGCATCGAGCGGGCTCTTCATGGATGACGGTTGGCAACGCAGCAGCGGACACTTTGGCAGGTGAAGGTGCGATCATCGCACGCATACCCGAAGCTGTCCGCACTGACATTCTGGAAAAGGAGAGGGTGCTGTACCTTATCCGCATGAGGATTCTCAGGTCGCACCTCGACGCCATGGAGGCCGAGAAGACGCTGCAGGAGAACCCGCCGAGCGGTCGGCACCAGAGGCGAGGAGCTCGGGGACGGAGGGAAGCCGTGGTGATAGGTGAGCCTACTGCTGCTGCTGCTGCCGACCCTCCGCCCCCTCCCCCGCCTCCGTGTCAGAATATTCTATCGGCTTTTGAGACGAGCCATGCCCTGTCTGAGTGTGGGCGGCGTTGTCTGCGGTGCCGCGGGTCCGCGTCTGTTGCGCGCGTTTTGGTCTGGCGTAAGTCTCCGTGTTTCAGGTTAGTTGCTCTTGATTGCTCCCTTCGTGCACTTCCTGAGGGGGCCACCATTCACATTGCTGGGGGGTTGTGGACCCCACCCATTGTATGAGGTTTCACGCTGTTTTAATGCTTTGGTTTTGTGCGAGTTGTGGGATGTATGGGGACCAGCAGCTTTGCGGCCTCGGGAAGGCCTGTGTCCCCCGCCCCACCGCGACGAGGAGTGAATACCTTCGTTTGATTAAGTTGGGGCAATGGCCCAAAGTCTACAGTAAAGCGGAATTAGCTCGTAAAGCCCTGAAGGGGTGTAGGTGATGAGTGGAAGGACTACGTCCAGGGACTCCAACTCCAACTCCAACTCCTCCTCCTATGGGACCGATATCAAATCGGGCCTTGTACACCAGCGGGTCGCCCCGCTTCTCGACCTCGTAGTGCCAGCCCTCCTGGGCGAGCACGCGCGGGTCGCGGACCGCGCGCGGGTGAAGCACGGCGTCGAGGTAGACGTCCACGAGGTTGTAGAAATCCTGTCGGAGGGCGTCAACTATACACCTACACTTAGGTCGAGCATGTCCTCCTGGAGGCGGACTTGGGAGGAACAATGAGAAATTGTCAAACAGACTCAAAACTAGTCAAGAGTAGTCGAAAAATCGTCCCGAGACTATTTGTAACTATTTCTGGATATTCCTCCTGTAGGGGTACGCGCCCGACTTAAACCTGCACCGATGCTGCCCAGGCCCAGCCTGGGCCCACGATCGGTGTATACCCCGTCCGGCCAGGCTAAGGTGGCGCAGACGCCGATCCTGGGCCCAGGGATGGGCCCGACGAGGACCGGTGCAGAATTAAAACCCCAGACATGATCGCGTCGTAAAAAATTCAGGACGAAGGTTTTTCACCGTTTTCGGCCTCTGGAGGCCCTCGACGGGTCCCAGGACTGTCAAAAAACGACTCAGGACGAAAAACTGGTCCCTGGGGAAGGGTCAGGATTTCCGGGGACCGCGTATTGAAAAAATCAGGACGTCGCATGTCTGGGACCGCATCCCCCGTATCATAATTCATACCCCCCCCTTCACCCCTGCCAGTTGGTTCTCTCCGGCCAAGACAGAGTTTGTCGGGGGAGAGGGGCGGCAAGGCCGAACTTTACTATCGCGGAGGTTGCTGGAGGTCCGATCCTGGAGGTTGCAGCTCGCAACCGGGTAGCAAGTGCGATCTGGAAAGGTCATGGCGTTTAGGAACGTCTGCAGGCTCGACTTCAGCAGCTCCACGAAGGGCTTGTTGACGGGGTACTTCCGGCTCCCGCAGAGGACCGAGTGCTCGAGCACGTGCGCGATGCCGTTGGAGTTCTCGGGAGGCGTGCGGAAGACGACCCCGAAGGTCTTGTTCTCGTCCTGGAGGGACAGAAAAGACGGCACAACCACGAACTTTCGGAGATCCGCACGGATTTCTCGGATCGGCGGTGGACCCGCCTCCCTGGCGCGCGGAGCGCGCCAAGAGCGGCGCTGCCAGGGGGGCTCAGCGTCGCTCCGAGAAACCAACGCGGAGCTCCGAAAGTTTCTGGTCGTGCAGTCAATTTGTTCTTCCTTGACTTCCGCGGGCTGCACCATGGACATCAGCTGCGCGCCGGTGCGGTCGTGCTCCAGCAGGTACCCAGTGCAGCTGAACTCCTCGATGTACTCCTCGCGGAGGCACGTCCAGCCGTGCCTCTTCTCGCCGACGGCGTGGCCTGCTACGGCCACTGGCGCCTCCAGCGTCACCCCTGGGGGGGAGGGGGGGCAAAACTTCAGGGGCTGCCGAAGGTGTCCCTGGCCCTGGCCCTTCGCTCCATGTTAGGGCCCCTGGAGCCCCCTGGGCCTTGTCGGGGGTGCTCTGGAGGCCGTGGGGGCCTCCTCAGAAATCCTGGGGACATCTGGCTTCCGGGGCGGGTTCAGCCGTGGGTGACGGCGAGGTCCCCCCGGAGATCCCAATGAACTGGGCGCGGTCCCAATTCAGGAAGCTTTCTATGGCATGGGCGCGTTTCTTGGCAATGTTTCGCATTGCTTGACGTTGCGTCGCGTTGCTTGGTGTTGCTTGGCCTTGCTTGGCATTGTGTTGCATTGTTTGGCATTGCTTAACGTGACGTGGCGCTGCTTGGCATTGCGTAGCATGGAATGGCTCGGCATTGTGTGGCGAGGCGGTAAGGAACTAAGGCCAGGGAACCAAGAAACCATAATAGAAGAACCAAGGAAGCAAGACCAAATAACCAAGACCAGGGCGGTCGCCTGTCAAACAACATGTTCATTCCCAATCGAATTAATGCTATATTACGGGCCCCAAACAAATCATGCAAGGTCACAAGAACTATTCCCCGCCCCCTAGGCGCGATCCGTGTGAGGGAGGAGAAGGAGGAGGAAGACGTGGTGGTGGAGGAGGAGGAGGAGGAGGAGGGGGAGGTGCCCCCCTCCCCCTCCTCCTCCTCCTCCTCCTCCTCCTCCTCCTCCTCCTCCTCCTCCTCCTCCTCCTCCTCCTCCCCTGGCCCCTTAGGTGCCAAAATGGGCCTCTGGACGCCGGCCCACCCAGCAGCCCAGGAGCCAACCAGCCAGCCCACCAGCCCTTCCCGGTGCGTGTCGTGAGGATGTCCCACACTGCTGGGCCCAGAACAATGATTTCGGACTTAGATCGATCGTGGGGCCGGGGGAGGGAGGAGTGTGACGGAATTGGAATAGAGTGGACGAAGTGGACCGGAAGGGACGAGTGGATGGAATGGAATGGTGTGGAACGACATGGAATGGATGGGAGGGTCGCGCAGGGAGGCGAGCGAGCGGGCTGGCGGGCGAGCGGGCGGGTGTGCAGACATGTGTAGACGTGCGGGCAGGCTCTCTGTGCTACATTGTATTGCATTGCATTGCACTGCACTGCAGTGCACTGCACTGCACTGCACTGCACTGCCCTGCACTGCATTGCATTGCATTGCGTTTCGTTGCGTTGCGTGGCATGGCGTTGCATGGCGTTACATGGCGTTGCATCGTTGCGTTGCGTTGCGTTGCGTTGCATTGCGTTGCGTTGCATCCTGTTTCGTTGCACTGCGTTGCATTTGCATTGCATTTGCAATACATTGCATTGCAGTGAACTGCGGGCGAGGGGAAGGTGGGGAGGGAGAGGGGGGAGGAGGGAGGAGGGGGTAGAGGGGGAGGGGAAGGAGCAGCACACAGCAGTGCAGCGAGGAGGGAGGAGTGGGGAGGAGAAGGGGGAGAGGGAGGGGAGAGGAGGGAGAAGGGAGGCGGCAGGAGGAGGAAGGGAGAAGGACGAGGAGGAGGATAGGTAGGATTTTTGTTCGCCTCCCTGGCACTGGCCATCGTCGTCGTCGTGGCATCGTGATTGTTGTTCGGCCCCCACGGCGCTGCCACGTGACGCGGTGCGCTGCGCTGCGCTGCGTTGCGTTGCGCTGCGTTGCACTGCGTTGCGTTGCATTGCAGTGCGTTGCGTTGCGTTGCGTTGTGTTGCATCCTGTTGCCTTTTACTTGCGTTTGCAGTTGCAGCACGTTGCGTTGCAGTAGATAGCGGGCGAGGGGGAGGAGGACAGGAGGGAGGAGCAGCGAGGAAGGCAGAGAGGAGGGATTTTTGGATTGCGCTGCTGATGAAGCGTATGGCCTGTCAGCTGATGGCGGCGCTGCGGCTAGCAGAGGCGGTCAGCACAGTCAACTCGTGTGGCTATGCTAAACGGCGAGGCTCGCAAACTCTGCACGGGCACCAAGTCTACAAGTACAGTACAGTACGAGGGGACCCCCGCGACAGAGCGGACGGAACGCGTCGAACCGAAGCAAGGAGTCCAGGCCCTCCCAAACCACATCACACCTCTCCGTACTACCCCCCATAATAGGCGACTGGACGGCGAACGCTAAGGGCGGCGACAAATATGACGTGCTGTGCCTCGTCCAGGGCACTCGGCTGAGGGGAAGGGGGGAAGGAGGGAGGGAGGAATGTGATGTGTGTGAGAGCGAGAAAGAGGGCTGGGACACAGACCGAACTCCTCCTGCTCTCGTAGCACGGAGCTGAGCGAAGGCTGGGACGCAGACCGAACTGCTTTGCTCTCGTGATGTCGTGACATCTCGTACCTGAGCGTGGAAAGGAACTTCGCACCCTCGCGACACGGACGAACGACGACGGCGCAGGCAAGCAACATCGATTACCTTCGCGCTAACCGTGGGAGGGAGGGGCGGCAACAACTGCTAAAGCCAGGCGTCGGCGCCTAGGCACGTCTGGGCCGTGGCAGCACGGCCCAGGTACCAGCCGGAGCAGAATCCACCATCCCATCATCCCCCCGAATCCTGATCCATCATCCCCCCGTATACACATGCCTATAAGCCACACGCGAAGCGCACGAAACAGCAGCGGACATGCCCCAGCTAAGAAGGGTGTGCCGCACGGGTGCAAACGCTCTGGCTGCTCTGAGAGCACTGGCGCAAATCGCTACACACCCCTGGGTTAGGCGTACGAGAACCGTTGCTGGAAAAAGCGCTGCGGCGGTGTATGGCAGAATCGGGCTGAATCGGGGGGTGATCGAAAGGCTGAGGCGGATGGACGCGGAGAGAGGGAGGACGGTACAACTGACGGAGAGCAGCACTAGCGGGAATCCTATCTCTTTCCCTCCTACCCTCCTCCTCGCATCCTCATCCTGTCTATCGGCCGAGCTCGGCCAAAATTACATGTGTGACGCGTGGAGGCACCACAACGGGAGTTACCACGCAATCGCTCGGGAACAACTGGGCCAGAGAGCGATGCTGGAGAGATATCGCTGAACTCGTTCGCCGGCCCTCAAAGCCGGGACGTCGTACCTGAGCGAGGGGAGGACGACTTCTAACCGAGGGTGGGGGGGAGGTGACGCAAACTACAGCTGCTGCTCCTCCCCTGCTCCTCCCAGATATCCTGGTCCCTCACCTCACATACATAAACAACATAAGTGTAACTGCTTCGCATGAAGCTGGATATAACATTAAGGCCGCGTGGAGGCACCACAGCGGGAGTTACCACGCGGACAGTGTGCAGGCAGAGGCATCTTCGCACCCTCGCGACAGACAAAGAGATGCATAGAGATACACAGGAACACGATTATTTACGCGCCGTCGACAGAGGCTGTGCCGAGCCTACGCCGGAACATCATACCTGAGCGCTGACATGCATTCATGATCCCACTTCTATGGTACTACATATGGATGCCGATGGCCGCATATGCGGCAAACATGGCGGCTCTGGCGGCTTCGATGCCGCCTTGAGCAGCGACAGCGTCACCGATCCTCCGGCTCCCCTGGTCATCGCGTGCCGCGCGGGAGCCAACGGGCTGTCCCAGGGTGTCCGGCACGGCCACGCGCTCAGCCTCCGGATGCCGCGCCGAGGCAGTAGCAGGGACGGGGACCACCTCGTCGAGGGCCTCTGCGGCGCGCTCGGCTGCCTCTCGCTCGGTCGCTGCCTGTGGCGCGGGCACGGCCAGGCTGTCGGCCTCGGCCTGGCGCACAGCGGTCGGGCGACGCCTGGCCCACGCAGCACGGCGTGTGGACGCCTTGCAATGGGCCTCGAAAGCCACGACTGCGGCTGTGGCCTGCCCCTGCCCGGCCAGCGGAAGCCCATGACCACTGGCTTCGGCAGCACCAGCGCCGAAAGCACCAGCAGGCAGACGCGTCACAGGGCGGAGCGCGCGATCACGAGAGGCGTGGCCAACACCACCAGGAGCTCCAGCGGCAGCAGCAGCAGCGGGTAGCACGTACCTGCAATCTCCACGATGGTCCGCACGAACGTCGGCTGCTGGTGGCGGCGGCAGATCTCGTGGAGGCCGTAGCAGGGCCGAAGACGACGACATCAACCTCGGCGAAAACGGCGGAGGTCCGGTTGGCGGCGGCGGCGGCTCCGGCCTGCGAGCCGCCAGTGGCTCAGCAGCAGCATCATGAGCACGATCACGGGCACGGGCCCCGCCCGCAGCCGCAGCCACCAGCTCCGGCACACCAGCATGACCAGCACGGTCGGGTACGAGAACACCACGAGCAGGTACGGGTCCAGCACCAGGAACTCCACGAACCTGCAGCTCGGACGGAGCCTCCGAGGCAGCAGGCGACGGCTGAGGCCACCATACTGGCGCTGCGGAAGCTGGGGGCGGCAGCGCCTCTGGCAGCCAACACCAAGTGGCCGCCGTCGCCGCAGCGCCCTTCAAGGCCTGCGCGGGTACAGGGACTCCCGCCGTCGCGGGGAGCGGCACGTACATGGGCGCATCGGCCCTCATGCCGACGGCGGCCTGGCCCGTCCGCGGCTCGCACCACTTCGCCTCGGCGTTCATGCCGGCAGCGGGAGACGCCTCGCGGCGCGTCGGCCCGCTTTTGGCGTCGGGATGCGTCTCGCCGCGCACCAGGGCATCCTCGATCCTGCGGACCGCCTCGGCGAGCTGCTGGAGCTTGACGCCCACGTCGCCGTGATGCCAGTCGCCGCCGCGGTGCCAGTCGCCGCCGTACTGCCAGCCGGCGCCGCGCTGCCAGGTGCCCGTGCCGCGCAGCCAAGCGTCGAGCGCGTCGCGGCGGCGGCGGCGGGCGAGGCGGCGGGCTGCCGACGGGCCCAGCAATCGAATGTCAGCCTGGCGCTGCCAGGAGGGCCGCCACGCCATCGGGCAGCCTCGCACGGGCCGCCACGCCATCGGGCAACCCTCGTAGCCTCTTGCAGCTCCTCACGCGCCTGCGTGCGCCGCTCGCGAGCCCGCGGGAAGGGCTCGTGTCGCGCGGCTGGCCCGCGGCTCGCCTGGCAGCAGCGCCAGGGGCGAGGCGAGGCGGCCGGCGCGCATGGCAGCTGCCCGGCGGCGCGAGGTGCGCTGCTCCTGGAGCAGTCCAAAACACCTCGGACCGGGGCGGCAGCTAGAGAGGAGGGGGGGAGGGAGGAGTGAGGATGGGGGAGGAGGGGAGGGGAAGGAGGGAGAAGGGGGAGGAAGGAGGGGTGAGGGAAGATGGAGGAGGGAGAAGGCAGGGAGGAGGAAGAAGGGCGAGGAGGATCTGATAGAATTGTTGTTCGCCTCCCTGGCCCTCGTCATCGTCGTCGTCGTCGCCGTCATCGTCGTCGCCGTCGTTCTCGTCGTCGTCGTGCCATAATGTTTTCGTTCGGCCCCTGCGGCGCTGCCACGTGACGACCAGAACGGAATGTGCGTTCTTTGCGCCTCCGGGCGTTGCCACGTGGCGAGCGGAGTAGCATAATGTTTGCTGCCGGCCCCCGCAACGTTGCCACGTGGTGAATCGAGTGGGATGTTTTGTTTTCCGGCCACTGCGGCGCTGCCACGTGACAAGTAGAGTGGATGGAATACTGTTGATTCGCGCCCCCAGGCGTTGCCATGTTGCGCGTGAAGCGGCTTAGTACCAGTGCTGGCCCCAGCGGCGTTGCCGCGCGACGAAGAATGGAATAGTACTGCTTGGTCCCCGCAAGGCGTGCCACCACGTGCCCCCCGCGGCGTTGCCACGTGACGAATAGTGGACTAGCATAGGTTCGGTCCCTGGCATGCGTTGCTGCGTTGCCACGTGGCGAACAAGAGTGGAACAGCATGTTTTCCGGCCCCCGCGGCGCTGCCACGTGACGAGTAGAGCGGGATAGTATTCTGCCGCCCGCCCGAGCGTTGCCACGTGGCGGCCGCCCAGCCAACTAACCAACCAACATACCGACCGACCAGCCACCAGCCAACCAACCTGCCAACCAACGATGCTGTGCATTGCACTGCACTGCGTTATAGTTGCATTGCATGTGCAGTGCATCGCATTGCAGTAAATTGCGGGCGAGGCGGAGGACAGGAGGGAGGAGAAGGGAGGAAGGTACAGAGGAGGGGAGGAAGGAGGAGTGAGGAGGGGGGAAGGAGGGGAGGGGGAGGAGGAAGCAAGGGGGAGGAAGGAAGGAGGGATGATGGAGGAGGGAGGAGGAAAGGGGGATTGAGAAGGACGAGGAGGATAGGATGGCATGCTTGTTCGCCTCTATGGCATCACCGCTGTCGTCGTTCCCGTCGTCGGCCTCGTCGTCGCCCTCGTGGCAGACTGTCTGTTTCGGCCACCGCGGCGCTGCCACGCGACGACCAGAATGGAATATATCTGTTCTCTGCGCCTCCGGGCGTTGCCACGTCGCGGCGTTGCCGCGTGACGGCTAGGAGTGGACTGGTTGTTCCACCAGCCCCCGCGGCGCTGCCACGTGACCCGCAGAGTGGATGGACTGCTGCTTCTTCGCGCCTCCAGGCGCTGCCACGTGGCAGGTGGAGCGGGCGAGTATTTCCGTGCGGCCCCCCAGCGGCGTTGCAACGCGACGAATGTAGTTCTAATCGTATTTCGTTTCGTCCCCGCCAGGCGGTGCCACATGGCGAATAGACTGGAAACATGCTTTGTCTCAGCCCTCGCGGCGCTGCCACGTGACCAGTACAGTGGAATAGTATTTTGTCGCCCGCCAAGGCGTTGTCACGTGGCGAATGGAATGGAACATATAATTTCGGCCCCGCGGCGCTGCCACGTGACGAAACGCACATTCCGTTACAGTGCATTGCACTGCAGTGCATTACATTGCGTTGAATTAAATCGGATTGTATCGTATTGATTCGCGGTGGATTTGCGTTGTTGCGCTACATGGCATCACATCCTGTTGCATTGCATTGCCTTGCATTGCATGTGCATTGCATTGCATTGCACTGCCTTGCCTTGCCTTGCCTTCCCTGGCATTGCATCACGTTGCGTTGATTTGCAGTGCGCTGCGTTGCATTTGCATTGCAGTTGCAATACACTGCGTTGCAGCAAGTTGCAGGCGAGGGGGAGGAGGAGGAGGAGGAGGAGGAGGAGGAGGAGGAGGAGGAGGAGGAGGAGGAGGAGGAGGACCGGGAGGGAGCAGAAGCGAAGAGGGTACAGAGAAGAGGGGGGGAAGGAAGAGGAGTGAGGAGGGAGGAAGGCAGGGGGAGGGAAGGGGGAGAGGAGGGGAGGACCGGCCAACCACCCAGGCAAGCGGGCAACCGGCCACCCAGCCACCAAACCAACCAACCAACCACTTCATTAGCCAACCAGCCAACTAACCGAGCAACCAACCAATCGGTCCTGGAGGTTTGACCTGGCGTCGAGCGAGCCAACCAACCGATCAATCGACCAACCACTCCTGGGCAAATGGAAACCAGACCAAGCAACCAATCAGACGACCAGCCAGCCAACCAACCAACCATCTCACCCGCCAACCGACGAATCAACCAACCGGAAAAAATTCACCCGACAATCGGCGAGTCAATCAGCCAAGCAACCCACCAACCAACCAATCCTTCAATGGGTTTTTTGAGGTCCCACACAGCGGGCCCCAGAACAAATTGTTTGACCCGGAGAATTTCAAACAACCATCAAATAATAAATTTTAGACCCTGAAGCAATTGTTAACCCGTTCTCCCGACCAGGGCACCAAGGAACCAAGAAAGGCGAGCCCGGGGAATGCAGTAAGGTAACACGACCAAAGAACCCAAGGAACCAAGACCAAGGAACCAAGAAACGAAGACCAAGGAACCAAGGAGGCAAGACCAAACCAAGGAACCAAGGAACTAAGACCAAGGAACCAAGGAACCAAGGGACCAAGACCAAAGAACCCTGGAAAGGGAGCAACGAGACAGGACCAAGGACTCCAAAGAACCAAGACCAACGAAACAAAGAACCAAAAGCAAGAAACTCAAGGAACGCCGAACCCCGGGCAGCGCTTCGAAAGGAAAACCAAGGAACCCCGGAGAGGGCGCCTTGCCAGGAACAGCAGAGCCAAGGAACGCCCAGGGAAGGCCGGCGCCAGCTCGGGGGGGGCGCACCCGCTGGCTCTTCAGAGGCAACTGCGAGACTCCCCGGGCAAAGCCTCCTCGGTTGGGGAAAAGCGCGGCACCGCGGAGGAAGGGCATCTGCATCGGCACAGCCCACATCGGCCGCCAAGAGGAGGCACCCTCAGGACGGAGCAGCGGGGTGCCGGGCGCCCGCCGGGCAGCTGGGGAATGAAAGCGAAAACGCGGGGAGGGCACCGGCATCGGCAAAAGCCCGCATCGGCCGCAAAGACGAGGCACCCCAATGGCGGAGAATCATCGGGGTGCTGGGCGTCCGCCTGCAGCGCGCCAGGATGCCGCGGCACCCTAGGGCCGAGGGAGCCGAAGACGTGCCGAGGGCAGCCCCGGACGGGGGCACGCACAGGGAGCCTGCGCTTCCTGCCGCCAGAGGCCCATGCTCCTGGTCCTGACTGCATGCCCTGATCCCGGAGCTCGACGTCGTCACCCTTGCACAGCGTGGGCCCTGGGAGGTCTGGACCTTCTCCCTGGCCCTGGTTTGTCACTCCCCGTCTTGACGGTCCTATGGGGCCCAGCGAGGGCCCCCACCTACGAGAAACTGCCCACCGTGATCGTTTTCGGACACCTGAGCTCCGACGCTCCGGAGAAAATGCAACGCAGTGAACAATTACGACCCCCCACACTTCTGCCCACATTCTTCGAAGCGGATCGATCCGTGATGGCCCTGGGGCCCGAAACCGAGCGAAAACGCCCAGTGTGAAACAAATGTATCGCCCGGGTCTCAGGGACATCCACCCCACGAGCCCCCTCCATAGACATCTGGCGTCTCGAGAAACTCGAGGCGGACGTTTTCAGTTTTCGGCCTCAACGGGGGCCCTCGCAGAGCCCTGGGACTATGAAACAACGACTCAAAATGACGAGCCGATCCTGGGGAGGATGGACCAGACTTTCGGGGGCCCCGTGTCCTAGGCATGCGGTGTCCGAGTGTCTTCCCCACGAGGCCCCCCGACGTCGAAGTCCAGGACCAGATGTTCATGAAGGGGCCCCAGGACACACAAATAAATACACACAAATAAAAAGATTCACCATATTTTCCCATATTTTCTGGGTTTCTGTCTTCCCCCCCACTTCCCGTATTTTCTTATATTTTCTAGGGAATCGAGGATTAATTGTGTCTGTGTGTTTTTTCCTCTCCTGAGTTCAGGTCGGACCGTTTCCTGACGGCCCCGGCGCCCCGGCCCTGAGCTCTCCAGGGCGCGAGCATGCCTGGGCCTGAGAAGCCCCTTGAGCCAGCGGGCGCCCGCGGGTCGAAGCCGGGGCAGGCGCCGGTCGGGGCACGGACGGGACGCGCCGGGAACGAGCAGGAGGCGGGAGAGGCAGAGCTCGCCATCGCGAGGACGTCCATGCCCCGTGCACGCTTCGGCCTCGTGCGCGTTTTTTGGGGGAGTTATTTTTTCTTTTGCCAAATGACCCAAGATGCTCCTCGAGGGTCCTCGCCGGGGAACAAGGGCACACGTCCGAACGATGCCAAGAGAACGTGAAGTCCTTCCCCAGGCCCGCGACGTCGTGATTTTTTTCATCACGTCGACCCTCAGAGGTCTCGACCCATTCCCCAGGACCAGTTTTTCGTCCCGAGCCGTTTACGATGGTCCCGAAGGCTGATACGGTTAAGTCGGGCACGTCCCTCTACAGGAGGAATAATCAAAAATAGTCAAAACATCGTTTAGGGAACGATGTTTTAACTATGCTTGAGAATTTATGAACATGTTCCCTACCTAGGCTCTGCCTAGAGGGTTATTACTCTGTTTGCTAAAAGGGGCCGGGCAGTGTAGGCCGCCCCGGGCGGTTCCACCAGTCCCCGCCCCGCGGTTCCCCCAGTTGCGCCCCCTGGGTTCCCCTAGCTTAGCTTAGTTTAGCTTAGCTTAGCTTATCTTAGCTTAGCTCAGCTTAGCCTTTCTCATCTTAACTTAGCTTAGTTTAGCCTAACCTAGCTTAGCTTAGCTTAGCTTGGCTTAGCTTAGCTTAGCTTGGCTTAGCTTAGTTTTGCCTAGCCTAGCCTAGCTTAGCTTTAGCTCACCTTAGCTTAGCATAGCTTAGCTTGGCTTAGC